TATGCGAAAAGTGTTCAGAGGTAACCCCTCCCGGGGTGTTTTTGGCAGGGATGGTCGGCAACGGGGCCGTGCCACCAGCCGCTTCTGGCCATCAGGCCCTCGCAATGGAGCTCCGCAACATTTCTACCCGCAACAATCCTATCCGGACTCGGGTGCATGACAACCCTACTCCTATTTCCAAAGGGGAACAGATAGAGGCCGGGGAGGCCACAGACGTGCCCACGCAAGATTTCCCACAGGTAAGGAAACCAAACACAACTATGTCTTTATTATCCATGACTGCCGGCTGCGTTTCTCTTTTTTTCCCCGAATTGGGCAGGTCTAACCACAGATGCGTGGATGTTACAGACGGTCAGAGGCTACTGCATCGAATTACAATCATACCCCAGCCAACAACGACCCCCGCACCCTTATGTTTACAGACATGGACGCTCAGCTTATAGAACTGGAACTATGCGAGCTCCACACAAAAGGCGCAATACAACCCGCGCACACGCAAGGGGGCTACTTCAGCAACATGTTTAAAAAAACCCGGAGACTTCAGACCGGTGATCAACATAAGGGAACTGAACGCCCACGTTGTATACCGTCATTTCAAGATGGAGGGCGTACACCTATTAAGGGACTTACTACAAGAAAGGGACTGGTTCACTCGTCTGGACCTCAAAGACGCATACCTATCGATCCCTATTCACAAAGACAGCCGACCACTCCTTCGGTTCCTATGGCAGGGGTCCCCATGGCAATTCACTTGCCTCCCTTTTGGCCTCAGCTCAGCACCTTGGTGCTTTACAAAAATGCTGAAACCGGTAGTGGTCCATCTCAGGACTCGAGGCATCGGATGTATCATCTACCTAGACGAAATACTCATATTCTGGAGGACAAGCGAAGGGGCTTCACACTACACCGACTACACGATTCAACTGTTAGAATCTTTGGGATTTATTGTCAACAGGGACAAATCGTCACTGACCCACACATGCACTATTCAATTCCTGGGCTTTGAAATAGACTCCAGGTCTTGCACTCTTCATCTTCCGAATACCAAGGTATCGGCCATCAGGAAAGAGATACGCAAAGTCCTCGAACTCGAGACCATCCCTCTTCCACAACTGGCACGGATAGTAGGTCTGCTATCCTCCTCCATCCAGGCCATATTTCCGGGCCCCTTACATTACCGAGCCATGCAACGGCTAAAATCCCATATACAACCAACCGGTCCCACTGACGGACGAGGTACGACAGGAACGCGAATGGTGGCTCAACTGCATGCAAGCATGGAATGGTCAAGCCATCTTTGGCAACCACCCGGACTTCATCCTAGAATCGGATGCGAGCCGATGGGGATGGGGCGCCACAGATGGGAACGCATCCACGGGTGGTACCTGGATGAATCAGGAACTCACCATGCACATCAATTGTCTGGAACTATTGGCCAGATCCTTCGCCATTCGAAGCCTGGCAAAAGGACAATCCAATTGCTGCATCCTACTGCGGATGGACAACGTCTCCGCAGTACGATACATCAACCATTTGGGAGGGACTCGCTCCCAAACACTAGCCGATTTGACGAAGAAGATCTTCGACTATTGCCTCCCACGCAACATCTCGATCAGGGCCGAACATCTACCAGGGGAATCGAACCTCACTGCAGACTGGTACTCACGACATTGGAGGGATTCCAGCGACTGGCAAATATACACACTGATATTTACCCATCTGAACGAACGGAGAGGCCCATTCATCCTCGACCTCTTTGCATCACACAACAACCATCAACTCCCAAGATTTTACAGCTGACTCCCGGATCCGGAATGCGTGGCGGTGGATGCCTTCACCCAACACTGGCCCAGACAAGGGGCGTATGCCTTTCCTCCATTTGCAATGATTGCGAGAGTACTTCATCACATCCGACGACGAGAGGTGACGCTAACACTACTAACACCACTATGGCAGAGTCAACCCTGGTTCCCGGACCTTCTCGAAC